GGCTAATCTACATGCCTCCGTCGAAGGAGGCATGTAGTCTAGACACACCCTAAGAGTTTCCTCCCATGAGCACAATAAATGTTGTGTTATGCACCAGTACTGAGTTTCTGGCTTGTTTGGATGTGCCACTGTGGCACCCAAATTATTAATAAGTATTTTATAAACCTTTACCTTTTCCCTCTGCTTCCCTGTCTCCTCCCCTTGCTCAATCAGCTCCCCTGGTTGCCCCCCCCGCCCCAACCCCTCATCCACCTCTGCTGTCCTGACTCCTGCCCTTCTCACTGCCCTCAGACTTCCTGAGATCTGCCCCCCTCCACCAGCCCTTCTCTCCCCCCATGTGCCCACTCCTCCAGTAGCCTCACTCTGATCATGTGAGCTACTCCTCTTCATCCCCTCTTCCAACACCTCCCTCTACACACCTGCCCTGCCTCTCTCCTCTGGTGCTGGTCCCTCCCCTGCAGGTGTCTGCCCTCTGCTTCACCCCCAGAATCCCCTGGTACCTGCACCTTCTCTTACCCCTGCACCCTCCTGGTGTTCCCCCTTCCCTCACTGCCCCGGCCCCCTTTTTCCCTGATGCCCACCCCCTCACCACTCTCTGCCCCCGTTCTCCTCAGGCCCCTGTGCTCTCACACATGCCTTGCTCCATCCCTGCCTTCCTCATGCCTACCCCTTCTTTCAAGCTGTCTCCCAGCACCTTCCCTTCTCCCCTCTAGCTCCCAAAGCCCTTCCCCTCTCCTCTCCTAGAATCATCCTGTCTCCCCCACTCCTTTCTCATGCCCACCCCTTTTCCTCATTGTCTCCGCTTGGCCCCCTGGCATTTGTTTCTCTTCTACGCCCTGTCCCTTGGTGCCTTCCACTTTCTTCTCCTGTCCTGCAGCCCTCTCCTCAGCACAAGCCCCTTCCTCTTTGACCCTTACCCCTTATGTTTCCCTCCTCTTCTGGTCTGTAACAGAGTTCTAGGGTCGCCCTGACTATCACCCTTCTGGTGCTCCCCCTACTCTGTCTTTCTTAGGTTTCTCAGCCTCCTTTTGGGCCACAAACCCCCACCTCACAGTCTCTGGTTCCAAAGTTCTGGCAGTCTCCCCAGCACTTGGTGCCTGCACCGAGTCTGACTTGTAGGATGACCAGATGTCTGGTTTTCTACCGGACAGTCCAGTTTTTGGGCCCTCTGTCTGGTAAAAAAAATCCAGAAAATACCTGAAACATGCAATGTCTGGTATTTCCTGTTTTTCCAGCTGGGCGCCAGACTGAAGCCTAGCGGCAGCGGAGGAAATAACTGGAGGGTGGGGTGCAATCGGCACTGGGAGCCTCTAGTTGAGTCTGGCGTCTTGGGGAGGAGGAGAAGCCCTGTCCCTGAGCATGTTGTGGAGCTGCAGCTGGTAGCCCACCCCCCAAAAAATTGGACACACTTGATCGGAGGCAGATGAGAGTGCGGTGGGGCTCCGGGCAGTGAAATTTCGCAGGGCCCTCCCTTTGACACGGCGCATGCGCGGGGCCTCGGGAAGCGCAGGGCCCGAGGGAGCTGCCCCGCTCATCCTGCCCTAAATCCGCCGCTGCACTTGATCATGGACCAGGGGGAGGGACTGGACGGGGGGCAGGGATGGCCAGGAGGAAGGGAGGGTGGGAAGCAGAGCTGGTGGGGGTCAGGTGCCACAGGGCTGTCCGGGAGGAAGGGGGGCCCGGAGGAAAGAGGAGCAAGAAGCAGAACTGGGTGGGGGGTGTCAAGGAACGCCGGGTTGGCTGGGAGGGAAAGGGGGGATGGAAAGCAGCTCTGGAAAGGCAGGGGCCAGCCGTGCTGCCCCCAACCCCAGCTCCCCCCCC